TGGTGGGAATTTGGGATATTTTGGGGTGTTTTGGGGTGATTTGGGGTGATTTGGAGTGTTTTGGGGTGTTTTGGGGTGATTTGGGGTGATTTGGAGTGTTTTGGGGTGATTTGGGGTGTTTTGAGGTGTTTTGGAGTGTTTTGGGGTGATTTGGGGTGTTTTGGGGTGATTTGGGGTGTTTTGGGGTGATTTGGGGTGTTTTGGGGTGTTTTGGGGTGTCTCACTGAGGATGAGGACGACACCGAGCACGAAGAAGATCCCGGCCACGATGAGACCCCCGAGGCGCAGAGAGTCGTAATCTGGGACGGGAGAGGTGAAACAACCCCAAAACAGCCAGAAACAGCCCGGAAACAGCCCGGAAACAGCCGGAAACAGCCCGGAAACAGCCGGAAACAGCCCAGAAACAGTCGGAAACAGCCAGAAACAGCCCGAAAAACAGCCAGAAATACCGCCAAATCAGTCAGAAACAGCCCAAAACAAGACAAAACAGCCAAAACCGCCCCAAAAACAGCCAGAAAGAGCCAAAACAGCCAGAAACACCCAAAATCAGCCAGAAACACCCAAAATAAGCCAAAAACAGCCCAAAAACAGCCAGAAACACCCCGAGAACAGCCAGAAACAGCCCAAAACAGCCCAAAACCAGCCTGAAAACAGCCGGAAACAGCCCAAAACCAGCCAGAAACAGCCAGAAATCCCCCGAAAACAGCCCAAAACAACCAAAACCAGCCCAAAACACCCCAAAACCAGCCAAAAACAGCCAAAAACAGCCCGAAAACAGCCGGAAACTGCCCCAAAACAGACAGAAACACCTGGAAAACAGCCCAAAACACCCCAAACCAGCCCAAAACAGCCCCAAAACAGCCAAAACCACCCGGAAAACAGCCAGAAACAGCCAAAAACAGCCAGAAACAGCCAGAAACAACACCTGGACACACCTGAACACCTCCTCCCCCCACCCCGTGCACACCTGGATACACCTGGACACACTTGGGGACACCTGGGGACACACCTGGACACACCTGGGGACACACCTGGGGACACCTGGACACACCTGGGGACACACCTGGGGACACCTGGACACACCTGGGGACACCGACACACCTGGGGACACACCTGGGGACACCTGGACACACCTGGGGACACACCTGGGATACACCTAGGGACACCTGGGGACACACCTGGACACACCTGGGGACACACCTGGACACACACCTGAACTACACCTGAACTACACCTGTTCTCACCTGTTCTCACCTGTTCTCACCTGTTCACACCCACCCCCCCGCCCCTCCCCCACTCACCGTACTCAAACCGATCCCACTCGCTCGGCGCCGCCTCTGGGGGGGGGAGGGGCGGCGTCAATGACGGCATCGCCGCTCCGTTACGTCGCCCACATGACGTCACGCCTATCGCGATGACGTCACCGCCCCTCCCCCCCCCACTCTCACCTGTTCTCGCCGCGCTCGGCGCCATCGCGGCCGCACCTGGAGCGGGGACAGGCACGTTTTGCAGCAAAATTCCCAAAAATTCCCCAAATTTCTCCGGTTTTTCCTTCATTTCCCACATCTTCCCCGGTTTTCCCAGAATTTCCCCCAATTTTCCCCCAATTTTCCCATTTTTTCCCAATTTTCTCCCAATTTTCTCCAATTTTCCCATTTCCCCTAATTTTCCCCAATTTTCCCCCAATTTTCCCCCAATTTTCCCATTTCCCCTAATTTTCCCCAATTTTCCCCCAATTTTCCCATTTTTTCCCAATTTTCCCTCAATTTTCCCCCAATTTTTCCCAATTTTTCCTAAATTTTCCCCATTTTTCCCATTTTTCCCCAAATTTTCCCAATTTTCCCCAAATTTTCCCAATTTTCCCAATTTTTCCCATTTTTCCCATTTTTCCCCAATTTTCCCCCAATTTTTCCAATTTTTCTTAAATTTCCCCCAATTTTTCCCATTTTTCCCCAATTTTTCCCCAATTTTCCCCAATTTTCCCCCAATTTTTCCAATTTTTCTTAAATTTCCCCCAATTTTTCCCATTTTTCCCCAATTTTTCCCCAATTTTCCTTTTTTTCCCCAAATTTTTTCCCAATTTTCCCCCATTTCTCCCAAATTTTCACCAATTTCCCCATTTTTTCCCCAGAATTTTCCCAATTTTTCCCTTTTCTTCTTGAATTTTCCCCAATTTTTCCCAATTTTCTCCATTTTTTCCCTTTTTTTTCCCAGAATTTTCCCAATTTTTCTCTTTTGTTCTTCAATTTTCCCCAATTTCCCCCCATTTTTCCCATTTTTTCCCCAATTTTCCCCAATTTTTCCCTTTTTTCCCTGGATTTTTCCCCAATTTTCCTGGTTTTTGCCCAGAATTTCCCAATTTTTTCCCAATTTTTCCCAAGATTTTCCCAATTTTTCCCTTTTCTTCTTCAATTTTCCCCATTTGTTCCCCTTTTTCCCCCAATTTTCCCCAATTTTCCCCCAAGTTTTCTTTTTTTTCCCCTTTTCTCCAATTTTTCCCAATTTCCCCCCAATTCTTCCCAATTTTTCCCGATTTTCCCCAAATTTTCCTTTTTCCCCAGAATTTTTCCCCAATTTTTTCTTTTTTTTCCTGGATTTTCTCCAATTTTTTTCCCAATTTTTTTCCAATTTTTTCCACAATTTTCCCCATTTTTTTCCCCCAGAATTTTTCCCATTTTCCCTTTTTTTCCCATTTTTCCCTTTTTTTCCCCAGAATTTTCCCAAATTTTTCCCTTTTTTTTCCCCAATTTTTCCAATTTTTTCTCTCTTTTTCCCTTTATTCCCCAGAATTTTCCCAGAATTTCCCCAATTTTTCCCATTTATTCCCAATTTTCCCCAATTTTCCTTTTTTTCCCCAGAATTTCCCAATTTTTCCCAATTTTTCCCCCAATTTTTCCCAATTTTTCCCAAATTTTCCTTTTTCATCCCAGAATTTTCCCAATTTTTCCCAAATTTCCCCCATTTTTTCCCAACTTTTCCCAATTTTCTCCGATTTTTCCCTTTTCTTCTTCAATTTTTCCCAATTTTCCCTTTTTTCCCCAGAATTTTCCCAAAATTTACTCAATTTTTCCTTTTTTCACCAAAATTTTCCCAATTTTTCCCTTTTTCCCCCCAAATTTTCCCCAATTTTTTCCCAATTTTCCCCAATTTCGCCATTTTTTCCCATTTTTCCCTTTTTTTCCCCAGAATTTTCCCAATTTTTTCTCTTTTTCCCCAATTTTCCCATTTTTCCAAGAATTTTTCCCTTTTTTTCCCACTTTTTCCCCAATTTTTTCTCTATTTTTCCCTTTTTTCCCCAGAATTTTCCCAGAATTTCCCCAAATTTTCCTCAAATTTTCCGTTTTTTTCCCAGAATTTTCCCAATTTTCTCTTTTGTTCTTCAATTTTCCCCAATTTTCCCCAATTTTCCCCAATTTTTCCCAATTTTCCCCAATTTTTCCCAATTTTTCTGTTTTTTCCCAGAATTTCCCAATTTTTTTCCCAATTTTTCCAAGGATTTTCCCAATTTTTCCAAGGATTTTCCCAATTTTTCCCAAATTTCCCTTTTTCCCCCAAATTTTCCCCAATTTTCCCAAATTTTCCCAATTTTTCCCATTTTCCCCCAATTTTTCCCAAATTTTCCCCAATTTTTCCATTTTTTCCCAATTTTTCCCAATTTTCCCAATTTTCCCCATTTTTTCCCATTTTTCCCAATTTTCCCTCCAAAATTCCCAAAATTTCCCCAAAAACTTTCCCAAATTTCATCAAATTCCCTCAAATTTCCCCAGATTTGGGGGAAAATTGGGAAAAATTGGGAAAATTGGGGAAAATTTGGGAAAATTGGGAAAATTGGGAAAAATTGGGAAAATTGGGGAAAATTTGGGAAAATTGGGGAAAAATTGGGAAAAATTGGGGAAAATCCAGGCCTGGACTGGGCAGGATTGGGTTAAACTGGGACAAACTGGGAGGGACTGGGGGAGTTGGGCAATGGGGGAGGGGCCGTTGCTGGGGAAACGCGACCTTGACCCCTCCCCCACCGAAGCCGGGGGGGACTGGGACAAACTGGGACGAACTGGGAGGGACTGGGGGGGACTGGGGGGGCAAACTGGGACAAACTGGGACAAACTGGGAGTTACTGGTGGAGGCCCTGGGGTGTTACTGGGGTTACTGGGAGTTACTGGGAGCTGTTACTGGGAGTTACTGGGAGCTGTTACTGGGAGTTACTGGGAGCTGTTACTGGAGTTACTGGGAGCTGTTACTGGGGTTACTGGGAGTTACTGGGAGCTGTTACTGGGGTTACTGGGAGCTGTACTGGGGTTACTGGGAGCTGTTACTGGGGTTACTGGGAGTTACTGGGAGCTGTTACTGGGGTTACTGGGAGCTGTTACTGGGAGTTACTGGGAGCTGTTACTGGGAGTTACTGGGAGCTGTTACTGGGAGCTGTTACTGGGAGTTACTGGGAGCTGTTACTGGGAGTTACTGGGAGTTACTGGGAGCTGTTACTGGGGTTACTGGGAGCTGTTACTGGGAGTTACTGGGAGCTGTTACTGGGGTTACTGGGAGCTGTTATTGGGGTTACTGGGAGCTGTTACTGGGGTTACTGGGATTACTGGGAGCTGTTACTGGGAGTTACTGGGAGCAGCCCCCGCCCCCCCACCAAGGTCACCCCGAGGACGGGGGGGCCCGGCCCTGCCCCCCCCAGGCCCTCCCAGTTCATCCCAGTTCATCCCAGTTGGTCCCAGTTGGTCCCGGCCCCTCCCAGGACCCCCCAGCGGGTCCCAGTTTGTCCCAGTTTGTCCCAGTTTGTCCCAGTACCTGACTGGGAGCTGCGGCTCCCCCCGGCTCCGAGCGGCCCAGGCCGGGGCTATTCTTAACCGTGACGTCATCGGGGGTGGGCCCTGGCCACGCCCCCTCCCAGTAACGGACCAGTAACACCAGTAACGAACTGGGAACGGACTGGGAATGGACTGGGAATGGCCCTGAGCCCCGCCCCCAACCAGTAACGGACCAGTAACACCAGTAACGGACTGGGAACAGACTGGGAATGGCCCCTGAGCCCCGCCCCCTCCCAG